AGATAGTTTGCTTCCATTTCTTAAGCAAKSTTTGCTTTTATTTTTAGTGCAAAAATGGTTGATAAAGGCTTAGTTTGGAGATAGTGTAAATATAAATATGTACTGTGCAAAACTAAAACATGTGGTAATGCTTGAGAAACCGTCTTTTAATGTATCGAATTGACCATGAAATTGTCCAAATCTCCCAATTTTGAATTAGATAATATTGGCAGCAAAAAATATATATATTGTTCGGGATCCAACTTCAAACCAATTTTGTGAGGCTCCATTTACCTTCAAGTTTGTTCCAGAATTGGTGGCTCATAGGTTGGTCAAGGAATCCAAATGTCGATATCTGAATCAGCATCAACTGTTATTGCTAAAAGCTAAAGTGTCTAAATGGAATGACTTATTGTTGGATCTTCTAGTGAATAAGGTTGTGTTTGGTACCATTGCTATTTCAGGTTCGAACGTTTAGAGGGGCAATGGCATTATATGAACTTGTTTAGCTCTTTACCAAATAAAAACTGAAAAGAAAAAAAAAATTGCATTTGTTAGTATTGCTACCTAAAATGTTAAAATGAAATGTTTCTATTTAATGTGGCACCACCCTACCATAATAAGACTAATTTGGGAGTGCTTATTTGAAAATAAGGGCTTATTCTAATAAACACTTAAGAGCATTTGGTGAACAAGCACTTATTTTAAACAAGGCTAGTATAGGCATTTTCGAAATGTAATGGTGGGCCAAGATAGGCTAGAAAGTAAATAAACACTTAAAAAATAAGCCTAAATTTTGGGTTTTCAATTAAGTGATTATTCTCAAAATAAGCATTTACTTTGGGCTTATTTCCCAAATGCAAATAAGTGTTTATTGGTGTGGTCCCATTTCAAAATAAGTGCTTATTTGAATAAACACTTATTTTTAAGCACTCTCAAACTTAGCCTAACTCTCAACCAATGATCAAAATAAAAAATATTTTGTTGTGATGATTAACTCATTATTATACATAGATTAACATATAGATGCAAATATAATTGATGGTTTTACAAACAAACATGGAATAAAAAAGGGTAAATCTATGATGTGGGAAAGACATGGTATCGAAGAGTTTTGATCAATCAAAACCCATCCATGAATTTTGATAAATAACACCTGATTGTCTATCACGTTTATGATTCCAATTGATAGGTCAGAAGTTTTTAAGATACATCTTTTCGATATCATAGTTGAACCCAACAAAAAAAGAACCTTTCTATTTGAGATAGAGTTTATAGGTGTTTAGTGGCGTGTTTTGAAGTAGCAGTATTATGAATATGCAAAATTTGTGTATTGAGACAAAGATTAAAGTATTGGTATCAGGTATTGAATTGAACAACTCAAATACAAATATGGATATAGATACATTTTGGAAACAAAATTGACTCCGGTGTTCATAATACCGTGCTCGCACCATCCATACAATCTTGCATTGGGAGGAATATCTCCCTATGAAAAAAAGCATAAAGTACGAAGGTATTCCCAATGCAAGGTTGTAAAGATTGTGTGAATGGGGTAAACACGGTCTTGTGAGCACTAAAACTGATCTCTCTCGAAACACATGGATTTAGATGAAAAATATGAAAACACTTGGATACACTAGGGAATATCATACAATTAACATTAAGTTTAATGTCAAAGTAGCTATAAATAATGTATAAGTACATAAGAATTATATATTTTAATGGTATATATAAAAAATATCTTACAATTAATATAGCGGAATGCACATATATCATATAATTTTATTGATAATGTGTCAATCAAGAGTCCAATTTTACAAATTAATACATGCATAAAGCCATTATTATTTTATTTTTCAATAAAGTCCAAGGCACAAAACATATGCAACTATTATATTTGATTTATTATATCATTTTTTTCTATTTTACTATTTATAGTTTTTAACATTAACAAAAAAGTCAACTAAAAATTATTCTTAAATGTTTGGTAAGCAATACACTAATTTTTATGAACAATGAATATATTATTATAAAACGTAAATTTTAATATCAATTAAAAGTTGATAAAAATATAGAGTCTTAACTTAAAATATATCAAATATATTAAAATCTCGATGATACATATCATATGAAAATTCCTAAATCTTAAATACTAAATCAATTATTCCATTATGAATATTTTTATTTCTATAAATTTTCTAAAATAAAAAAAATATTTTTTATATAAATGTGGATTAGTGGATTTGATAGAATGAATTTATATAATATCCTCAGATATTTTATAAATAATATTTTTATTTTTGTAAATAAAAAATATACTGTTGTTTAATGCAAATTAAAATGTTAATTAGTAATTTATAAAATTTTTAAGATACATATCATGTGCAAATTTCTAAATTTTAAGTATTAAAATAATTATTTTATTATTAACATATTTATTTGTATAAATTTCTTGAAATTAAAAATCATTTTTTATATAAATATGGATTTGTTGGATTATCTATTCCATTGATTTATAAAATAATAATTTTGAATATTATTTTTTCATTTTGTAATTGGAATGTTGAACATAATTGTATGTTGTTTGTTTGGATTGTGTGTAAACATTGATGTTAATAAAAGTTAATTTATTTTATTTGTTATCATAAAATAAAARGTGGTTTGGTGGTTAAGAATGTATGTACTCTTAGGTGTTTGAGCCACTTGGATTCCTAGGTTTGAATCATGATAGGTGCCTTGTTGTCAAAATAGGGTTTGATACGCTTATGTGTCGAGGCATATTGGACTGATATGCACGACTTAAAAGATGCACCTTTAGTTATAGTGTATCCCATGCTAGTGTGATCCGATGTCAATACAATACACCTCACATCGAATATATCATCAATATTTTAATCCTTGATTGAGAGTATTGTGTTGACCATGTTGGTCTAACTAGGGTCAACCTCATCCCTCGGTGTGCTTAACTACTTTACTTGCTTGTGTGAACGCATTATGAAGCCCCAGGCCCACTTGCAATACATCTAGAACTAGGGGGGAGGGGGTATGTACTATAACAACAAGGAAATAAAGTTGCATCCGCACCATCAATTCAAGCTTTTGGCAGGGCAATACATGCTTCATGGGTGCTTAGTTGTAGGTTCAAATCCCCTTTAAGACCATGGGTGCTTAACTCCTCTCCCTATTAGTGTGTAATGCACTACAAAGCCCCCTTAGGTCCATCCACAACACATATAGATATAGAGCTTTGTGCTGCTACAATAAGGATATAAAATAATGCCCTCATCATCAATTAGAGCTTTTGGTGTAACAATAGTTGTTTGATCTTAAGGCTGCGTTTGTTTGTGGTGTAAAACATCACCACCAGTTCAGTTTTATCGGCGTTTGGATGCAATGTTAAATGCCATAAGCGGTTCGGTTTTGTAGGCGTTTGGGTGGATGTTTGGTTTACATTAAATCGATGTAAAACGTCACTTATAGTGAAATTTTACAATGATTGTCGATGTAAAAACTACATCGATAAAATTGATGTAATTTTTACATCGACAAACACATTTTTCAATGCTCATTTTTTTCAAACAGTTTAGTGTGAAACTCCATCGATTAGATACTCCAAACAAACGCAGCCTAAAAAACAAGCTTATTATTATCAAAACACATTATGGAATTGATTTATGATCAATATTCAAGATACCAACAAGTTTGTTATTATCAAAACACATTATGGAATTGACTCACAATCAATATTCAATATACTAAAATATTTTCTTTATTTTTTTTTTCGGTGTCATCTTTTGACAATGGGGCTTATTTCATCGCCTTTTTAACATATAAAGAAGTTGAAACCTGCTCACTCCCCTAAAGTTACATATTGGTGACTTTGAGATAGAATATGATATGTTTGATATGGGGTACATTGTATTAATACTTTGAACGTTGTTCATTGGTGTATATCTAACCTTTTAGTATGTGATGCATCGGAACATATCTCTACACTGCCACATAGGACACCATACAAGATACAAGTTATTGGACTATTTCTTCAAATGAGCAGTTGATGGAAGAAACACAACAATTTGACATTTCCCCAACACCACTGGATTTATATTTATAGTAGAAATGTTTTAGGATTATTTTTGTCCAACCAAACAGAAAATTAACATTCAACCTTAAAACACGTGATTGATGCTGATGCGACAGCTTTTCAATTAAAAACAACTATGGTATCAAATATTGCCTTTTTTTTTTTTGATGGAAAATATTGCCTAAATTATTAAAGAGGCTGTAAGATTTTCAATGGTTGAAGTTGAAGTTGGGGTTGTTGATTGTTGCATCTTTGAGTATTTTATCATTCAGTTATTTTATCCACATTTGAACAATTTAAATCATTGTCAAATAGACACTGCTATGTTTGGTTCGATGAAAAAACAAGGAGAGAAACAGGAAATTGAGGGTATATTTCTATCAAACCAAACATGGCCTATGGCCTATGGCTTAGATGTCAAATTTGCTAAGTTTTCTGGGCTAACTTGTTACTTGTGGATAATTGGGGAGCTTTTAAGTATATATCACCTTTTGTTTCAGGATAAAGACAAATCTAGCCCCTCAATTTGAACAAATGGATTAAACATGCGATTATAGATTTATAGTGAAACGCCACAATCTATGTCGACCTACAATAAAAGAATCAATTTGTAGGCATGCGGATGCGGAATCCAGCAACTCTGCTATAAAAATAAAAGTTGGGAAATCCGGTATCACATCGTCCCACTGTGCCTCCGCACGAGAAAGACGCATTACATTCTCTTTGGTTTTTTGGCTACTCTACATAGGCTAGAGTGAATTGTCAGGCCCAATTCAACAACCAACGGGCAGGGCCTCAGGAGGGAACACGGCAAGCGAGTCCATGGGATCCGTGTCATCCACGCGGGCCCACCTTCTCCGGCCCACCTTCGCATTTCAGTTCCAATTTCCAATTCTCTTATCTTCCAAAATAAATTCTCAATTAACTCTAATTCTCGAAAGACTAAGCAATGATAATTTTGTCGACCCTCTAAAAGTTTAGGCCTCTGCCGTGAAGGCGTGGACTTCTCTCTCTCTCTCTCTCTCTCTCTCTCTCTCTCTCTCTCTTCTCTCTCTCTCTTTCGCTTTCGCTTTCGCTTTCGCTCTCGCTCTCGCTCGCTCGCTCGTTCGTCTGCTCGCGATTCGCCATGCCTTGAAAGCCATCGAAAAGCCAGAATTCAGAAAGAAGAATGGCGGAAAATCCATCGTCCTCCCCAAAACCCATGCAAACAATGAATGTGGTTGATTCGATTCCTCCTAACCCATCAAACCCAAATCTCACCTCACCTTCGAATATCTCCCCTTCTCCTTCGATGGATATTCCTCAAATCTCATCTCCGCAGCTTCCGTTAACCCAAACTTCTGCTTCTGCCGCTGGCGGCCAAACCCTTATAACCCAACCCCAGCAGCMGCACATTAATCCCACGGTTGGATTAGATTACCAGCAACAACAATCGCAGCAGCAGCAGCAACAACTACAACAACAACCGCAGCAGCAACAACAACAATTGCAACAGCAGCAGCAACAACAACAGGGCCTGGTTCCACCTTCGAATTTCCAAATCCAACAAAATTTACAAAGATCAACATCAATGTCTCGGATGAACCCGATCCAGCAACAGCAGTACGGCGCGGCGGCTGGTGCCATGCGGCAGCAAGCAGGAATTTATAGCCAAATGAATTTCAATGGATCCCATCTTCAACAGCAGCAGCAGCAGCAACAGCAGATGGGTGGCGGGGGTTTGTCTCGTTCGGCTTTGATTGGGCAGAGTGCGCAGGTCGGTGGCCACTTACCCATGTTATCCGGGCAAGCTGCAGCAGCAGCAGCGGCTGCCGCTCAGTTCAATTTGCAGTCTCAGATACTCTCACCGGTACGTGAACTAGAATTTGAGTAGTTGGACTTTTGTCTAATTGGCTTTTGGTTCAGGACACAAATTGATACTTATTACTTCCTTTCTCCTGTTCTTTTCTTTGAGAGTTCTCTTTAGGAGTTTAAATTTATTTCTATTTTTGTTATCAATTGATCGGTTACTAACTTACTGTTGATTGCGTGTATCTATAATTGTCAATGCTGTGTTTCACTTTTTCTTGAAATTATTGATACAAATGTAAGGAAAAGGCATTCTTGATGTAGGTAAGGCAGAAAACAGGTTTAATCCAAGGATCCCAATTTCATCCGGGTAATACTCCTGGGCAGCCATTGCAGGGAATGCAGACAATTGGAATGATGGGGTCACTTGGTCTGAGTGGTCAACTAAGAGGAAACAGGCCCCTCTCCTATGTCCAACAGCAGATAAACCAGGGGCAGATGAGGCAGCAGCAATTGTCCCAGCAAACTTCACTCTCCTCCCCCCAGGTATAAAGTCCTCTTTAAGGTGTTTATGCTTCCAGTTAGTTGTGTTTTGATGAAGTGCCTATAGTTATGATTTCATGTCACCTTGATTGTGTATTTATCTTTTTTGTTGGCAAGGAGTAGCTTCCAGTTCTTCCTTATTTAGAAGTTAAAGCCAATGGTTTTATAAGTGTGGATGCAAATTGTAAAACCTTTTGTTGAACGAGTCTTTGCCTCAGATGGTGCTTCTACATCCAAAACTCCTACAGTTGTTTTAGTTGTCAACATGATTCTTTTCTCCAAAATGCCCATTGTAAATGTTAATGCATCCTAGGGGCTGGGATAGTTAAATTTTGTTGTTAATTAAACTGTCACTATGCCATTGTTACCATTCTGATGGTAAATAATTGTGAGATTCACCATTTTGACAAATATTTTATTATTTCTACACACACACATTCTAAAAATTGCTCTTTTGAGTTCAATTTGAGTGCTACCTAATGGTTCTACTAAGATCAGCCTTTTGTAAATCAATTATTATCAATTCTGTTTTGTACCATCAGGATAGATATAAAATCTTTATGAGGTATGGCTCTAAAAATGTTGAATTTTTGGTATTTGATTAATGGAACAACATATAAGTTAACATAGAATGCCTAGAAGGTGCAAAATTATAAAATAGGATTCATGTAGTTCATCCAAATAGTTCTGATAAGGATTAGGGGCCATTTGATAATGGCTCAAGTTTCTGAACATAACAACTTATTGCTGTTCTTTTAGTGGATAGAATGATTAAGGAATAATATATACAAGGGTTACAATTTCAACTAGCCCTTAAGGAGCCCACAACCTCCTTGAAATCTTAATTCACTAAAAGACAAAGCAATATGTTTTTCAATTCACCCACTTCAGCTGTTATTGAATGGTCTCTTAGTTAGGTTGTGTATCAATAATAATAGGAGAGTCTTTATTCCCTTTTATTTTTCTCCCTTTTACTGTACGGGTATCTATCCAACCACATTCTCAATCTTGTAGTGTGGAAAAATGATGTCACCAATCACAACCACTATGCCTAGATATGACCCTTCAGATTGGTCAGTCCTCAACCCTATATCCTACCATGCATGTATTATTTCCTTAGTAACAGCAATTGCTAATTGTCAAAAAAAAAAAAAAAGATTTTTTGCTACATGAGTTGTGGAGAACGTGCAAGACCTTTTCAGGATGCCAAATAAGCTATCATATCTAACATTCTTCTTTGTGTAAATTCCTTTGTCTAAATATGTAAGAGTTGTTTATGTGAAATGAAGAGAAAAGGTGGTATTGGTCAGCAGTGCTACAGAGCAAATTGGAGGCTTTAAAATGCTGAGAAGGGCAAAAAGGATATATGTGGCCAAATGCTTGGGGGTCAGGGGTATGTATAAACTTGGAAGATACAAGATGAAGTAAGGCTAAAAAGAATACAAGAGAAGTTTAGGTAAGATTAAGTTTTTTTTTTTTTTTTGAGAGAAGGTAAAGATTAAGGAGATATTATGGAAACAAGATAGAGAAAACCTGGAAAAAGGGAAAGAGTTTTGAACAAACAAAATAAATACTGTAGAAGTATAGATTTTTTTTCCTCAATTTTGAACTGATCACAAAATTCCACCAAAATTTTAAAGACAGTTTTGGATTTGGATCCAGGTCAAAACTGGTATGAAACTGAAATTCAAATCCTTGTGTTCAAAATAAATGAACATCAGCTATACATAACAAATTCCCTCATTTCTTATTATATGTTGTTCTTGGTAGCAAAAATAAAGTTTTCATTTTCCCAATGCTCTTTTGTATAGGTATATGATGTCACAGCTTACAGGCTATCAAACTTTTAATATTCAATATTTTTTGACAGATTCTTCAGACATGTTTCAAATTCCCACTTCTGTATCCATGCAATGTTGATTATGGGAGAAGAAAAAGGCAGGGCTGATTAGAAAGTTAAATAGGAATTTGAAAATGTTAATGAATACAATATTGGTGAAATCTGTTAAGAAAAATAAGTGATGGAAAAGGAATAGATTATAGAAGGAGAATATTCGTGGGTGTGTTTCTTTTGAACCTAGATTACTTGTTATCTTAACAATATGAGGTAGTACATTGGAAAAAAAATGCCTTTTTGACATGATTATGGTTTGGAACTTAGATCCCATGGCCAAATTGAACTGTACTTCTGTAAAATTACCTTGGGCAGTTCTTCTTTTCTTTCTTCTTAAACCTTGAACATAAGATAAGATTGATCTGGCTATCAACATGACTGAGAGGTTCTATTGTCAAGACATGATTTAGATAGTGGTTTTTCAAATGTTTTTTAATGTTTATGTTATTATTATTATTTTTTGATCAATAACACTTTCATTAATTCATCAATAGAAGATTTACAAAAGGAAGACAAACATGCTTATCTTCCAAGAGCAACAAAGAATCTCAAGAACCGTTTATGTTATTGAACTAATAATATTTCTCTTCATTTTATATTTGATGGAATCCAAATCAAATTGAAATTTAGATTTTCAGTATATGTTTATCACCTTTATTTGATGAACAGTATATGCTCCTAACATCCAATCTATCAATAGAAGCTACAGGCTCAAAATCTACAAAGGACATCATCACTAGCATCCTTGAACCCTCAGATGTCTGGGTTGGCTCAGAATGCACAACCATCTATGATGCAAAACTCCATGTTGCAGCAGCAGTGGTTGAAACAAATGCAACCAGCAATTTCTGGTCAGTCATTCCATAGGCAGCAACAGGCCTTCTTGCAGCAGCAACTGGCCTCATCTCCTCAGCTGCAGCAGAAATCAATGGCCTTGAACCCACAACAAATGTCTCAACTGGTTCAGCAGCAGCCACAGCTAAGTTCTCAGCAGCAACCACAACTCCAGCAACAGCAGCAACACCTCCAGCAGCAACAGCAGCAACAACAGCAGCAACAACAACAATTGCATCAACAATTACAACAGCAGCAGCAGATGCCACCTTTGCAACAGCAGCAACAGTCTCCAAGGATGCCAGGACCTGCTGTTCAGAAATCTCTGAGTCTGACAGGATCACAACCCAATACTCCAGCTTCTGGTACAACAACACCAGGGGGGAGTTCAAGCCAAGGAACAGAAGCAACTAATCAACTTCTTGGAAAGAGAAAAATACAGGATTTGGTTTCACAGGTCTTTCCTGCACCTTTACCCACCCATTAATAGTTCAATCCCTGTATGCTGGCTCCAGACCTCTTGTCCTTTCTTTGTTCTTGTACTTGTTTTTTTGGAAAGTGGAGATTGTGTAGTTTAAATAATTGACAAACTTTCAAAAGACCATCTGATGTACCCCTGGGTGGACCAATGAAACTCTGTAGCCTGTAGGTAACAGAGGTTACATATGACACACATGCAGGTTGCTGTGAAACCTTAAGTTTCAAAAATTTTAACCTGTGCCCCCCAACCAAATTTTAGGGCCCTCCTGTCCAGTTGCCTGTGAGCCGGGCTTTGTGGTCAGCCCAGATGTTCCTCAGGCTTTTTCTCCTATGGGGTTTAAAATGCAGTGACATGAGAAATCTGAAATTTTGGAATTGGTTTTCCTGTTATTTTTCAAGAATTTGAAAGAATTCATACTAACTTCTGGCATTATCTTTTGAGTTGAAAAGATCTTTTTTAAGCTTGCCCTTCACTGTATATTAAATCATTGATGGACTAATATTCTTTTCCCAGTATGTTCTTTTTAGTTGTTCTTTATGTGATGAATACCTATCTTATTTTCTCTTTCATATGAGATTTTTTTTTTCCAGTTTATTTTTCTTTCTTCAAATGGTCATCCGTTTGCCATATTGCAGGTGGATTCACAGGGGAAGCTAGATCCAGAAGTTGAAGATCTTCTTCTTGAGATTGCTGATGACTTCATTGACTCAGTAATGCTTATAATATGCTTTTCAGTTATAATGCAGGATAATATTGTGTACCTTTCCTTCACAGATAAATGGTCATATATATATATACATGCAGAAAAACTTTTTTTATATATAAATTTATACTTAACTGCATGAATTTCATTCCTTTTTCTTTATCCATGCTTTCATCTTCTTTTTAAAGGGTGATATATGAAATCCATTCAGAATACATGAAACCGCAAACTGGTCCTTTTGTAAGATTTTTAGCTTTGAGAATTTCAACATGCACCTAATCACTTTTTTTTGAAGAATAAAGATAAACATTTTATTAAAAGCAAAAAGAGAAACAGCAGGGAGGTGATAAGATACCGGGAGAAGAAAAGCAGTCTCAATGACCCATTGAGACCCCAAATCCACAGAACTAGATGATAACAAGAGCACCCAAACAAACCCCAAACCAAATCCTAACTGAGAAACAAAGAAAACCCTAACCAAACCCCCAAGAAACATAGCCCAACAGCCCATCAATAAAACAGAAGACAAAAACCCCTCCTTGACGCACTATGACTTCAAAGAACCTCTGTGGACATAGCCCAACACCTAATCACTTATTTGCTGTATTCCATCATTTAATTATCTTTATGAGGTGGCTAGAATCATCTCATTCTACCTTCTTTCTTCCCTTGTCTAGTTACCAGTTGGTTCCTGTATTTTTAAAGTCTTATAGGGCATCGTGGAGGCATTCTGTGATCCTAAGGCACGAGGCATAAGCCTTCCGAGCATGTTTTTTAATTAATAAATAATTAAAGTAAAGATAAAATAAAAAAAAAATTATGAGAAATTAGAAAAAATGTACTAAATATCCCATAAAAATGGTAAATTTATGAGAAATAGAAAAAATCACATTTGCAGTTTCGAATAATAAAATCATCACATTTAAATATAAAATTGAAGTACATATCATGCAGTATCATGAGCCATCAATTTATAACTTGCAATGCTGCAAATCAAAGTTTCAGAATTAACAATTCACATAAATTTCACACCATTAGCGTAAACAAGTTTGACATTTCATATCTAAATGAATGTAATGCATTAAAAGAAATCAAAGCTGTGGTACCTCACTTCTGTTTATAATGTTTTATTATGATTATAATAAACACGTTTGGAGGGTTTTCATCCTTTCTATTATGTTGATATATAATGGAGAGCAGAAGCATTTTTCCCCACTTTGTATTATGTTAATACATAAACAAATTTGGAGGTTTTTCCCCCACTTTTATTTGTAAATTTTTATTATGAAAAATTAGCTTAAAAGGTAAGAGTATATGAGGCATATGCTTCTTGTATAAAGGGCAAAAGAGGCATACACCTTATATGCCTTATATACTGGAGTCATACTATCATATGCCTCTAGTGGCTCTGTGCCTCCACTATGTGCCTCTAGCATTTCCTCAGTGCCTTGTCTTGAGACACTCTCCAGGCATATACCTTAAGTTCCTTTTAAAACATTGTCAGGCATACACTAAAATGGAAAGTTATGAGGAATGAAAGGAAATTATGAAAATTTTGGCACGAGGCTTGCAACTATCTTAGTGGCAAACAAATGTCATGTTGAATATTTTTTTGGAGAATAAAATTTCTAGATTCCTCACTTTGTTGTGTTTCCTAGGCAACAAAGCATGGTCCTAAGGTGGGTTCTTTTTTTATTGCTTTTTTTGTCATTCTTGTACATCTTTTGATATACATCTTTACCCTTCTTTCTTTTTTCTTTGAAATGAAATTTAGTTTTTGTCAAAAAAGCTAACCTTCAATTTTAAAAGGGTGTCTTCATCCCCATATTGATTTGTGTAGACATATCCCTATTAAACATGTTATTAAAACTAAAAGCCAAAACCACTTTAGTAATTTATTTATTTTTTTCTTTGTCTTTATCTCTCCTTCATTGTTTTCTTTTTGCCAACAAGAACAAAGGAAAACCTAGAGCTTTTAGTCTGAGTATTCAGCTGTTGCTCCCTCTGGCGAATACATTGCCACTAAGAAGTTCCCACTTCACAGCAACAAGCCTGCTACTTACTTCCCATTCATGTCTTAAAAAGACAAAGTATCTACCCCTCACCATTGCCCTTCCCTTTATCTCATGCGAAAATACAGACTGTGCCCAACCTAGAGTTTTCATTTATTTATAGCTAAAATTTCTGAATCAGCAACCGTTTTGCTGGAACCCATGGTTGCATCATCAAGATTGCTATCTGAACCTTGCTCTTGCCATTTGTTATCTTCCTTTTTATACGTGTTGTATTTTTGTCTGGTGCTGCTGTAAATGTCCCTACTGACTGCAAAGCATTCGGAACTCAACTATCCCCTAGAAGGTTGCTAGGTGATGACAAGTAAATTAACCAATCCTGATAGTATGGACCAAACATTGATTCAAGTTGAAGGTTCTTTTACTTTGTTCCTCTTTCATAGTTGGGGAGAATAATGGTGTCATGGAAGGCTGTCTTTTGGTCATTGGTAAGCTCTCATCAGATGTGCAGAAGAGTATTGATATGATGCATGAAAAGAGAGGGCTGGAGATCACAGAACAAGAGAGTTGAGGAATATGATGCAGAAAGGGGTTTGATGGAAATACTAAATACCCTCATCGTTAAGTTTTTAATGGGAAAAGAAGGAGCTTTTTGCATCTCTTTAATGGATGTCTGAAAATTTCATCATTCCCCTACTTTTTTTTTGATAATTATCCTTTCCTCTTGGATTTACATAAATTTCTCTTTAGATTCCATAATCTAATCTATGGGAAACTATTTCTCTTTCATATTTTAGTGCAACAATCTGAAGTAACAAGGTGTTTTTTAGCAGAATTCTACAGAACTATGTATTCCAAGATTTCTTCTCCTTTCTCATTCTTTGTCCTCTATGCTCCATCTTTTATTCTCCACCATCTTTCCTAGCATGTGTGTTTAATGGTCTCCTATATATTCTTACTTTACCCATTTTTCAAATTAGTTCATCCACATTTTCATAGAAATATTGCCTTTTAGTTCTTTAGGTAGAACCGTAGAATGTGCATTAGTAAAAGGTCATTACCCAATGTCGGTCAGCTATCTGGGGTCTTGGGAGGGTTGGATTGGATACGGTCCTAACCTTTGGCTTTTTTTTTTCCTTTTTTGTTAGTAGAATATTTATATTAACTTTAAAGATTTATGCCATAATTTTCAAGTTATTAGATGTTAGTAACAATGTGGTTTTATATGAGTGTGGAAATAGGCAGTTGGGATACTCATCAATTATAATCTTCATCCTTTCTATTTTGTCTAGATGGTGAGAGTATAGCAAAGTTCCGCAATGTGTGGGTGTGGTTCTCATTTATCCTTACTTATGTAGTTGAGCAAGGTTTGCAATTTTAATTTTGAGGGAAACTTTGACCCTTCAAAATTGAGAAAATCCCATAACAGTGTAGAACTTTCTAGTTGGAGCTAGGTGCTGGAGAAAGATGGAAGTTTTCTTTCGAATTCCAAAAATGTCAATATAGACATGGTTAATATTTAAAGGTCAAACTGCTTAAATTGAAGGAAAGAACAACCATAAATGATATGTATGCCAAATTTGAAGAACAAAAGCCCACATTGTGCATGGTAAGTTGAGGCCTTTTTTCAATTGGCATTGGAGATATTTTTAACAGTATATATTCCTAATTTTCTTGTAATCTGTATTATATTTTGTCTAAAATGGTAAATTTGATAGATAATATATAAGATAATTTTAGTTAAAAGCGCTTGATTTATTAACATACAAATAATTTATTATTTTACCATCATTTTTGTTAAGGTTATATTACAAAAAATCATGTTTTAAGTTATTATTTATATAAATTATTATAGCTATCAGTATAATTGGGTCTATCGGTCCTGGTTATTAATTGGGACGGTTTTGGGTCTATGATTTTGTCTCAATTAATAATTGGTTTGCGACTGGGAGACCCTGTCCTGACCCAGATCCAACCTGTTGACAGCCCTAGGTGAGGTGTTGGACTTGGCAATCCCATACAAATAGGATTCAGCGACATAGCTACTATTCTTTAGTTTTAAGCTAATATCTTTTATGCTATACAAATGATGGAATAATTATTGGAAATGAAAAAAAAACTGAGCATAGATGCATTAATCAGTGCAAAGTGCAAAAAACGCTAGCCAAGCAAGGATTGATTATGCTAGATTATCAAACATTAAAAATTAACATTCATGTCCAAAATTTGCACTAAGAATTTGAGGTTTTTAATCACATTTTACAAATGTGATGTAGAAGAGTCCCTCAAGTGTCATATCAGTTTTAGTGCCCATACATTTCCAATAATAGTTCCCATTTTTGTAGTGTCAATGTGATGTAGATTCTAACTTGAACCTGGAAAATAGGATGGTTAGTCAAGGACTGCTACACTGTTCTCAGGTCAACCTGGAGATCCTCTGTACATAGTTATCTGATCTGTCACATTGTTTTAGATGGGTGGAAAGAGTATTGTGATTACTTTACCTGACCGAGTTGGTCTTTGACATGCCTCCTGAATGAAACCCTAAATGTGAACCTGGTGAACTGATATGCCATGTGTAGATTGTCTCAGAGTCCATGTGATTCATATCTTTATCGTTTTCATGATAATGATTGATGATCTCCTGTTTTAATTTGGAATGTTATGTTTTTCTGATACAAATTTATCCCATCTTGGCTTAACAAAATATTATTTTTGCAGGTTACAACATTTGCATGTAGTTTGGCAAAACATCGAAAATCTTCAACTTTAGAATCAAAGGATTTATTACTACACCTAGGTCCGCTCTCCTCTATGACCATACTTCTTCTTCTTCAAAAAAAAAAACATTGTATTTCACATGCGTTTTTTGTTAATGGTAAATCTGGTGTTAATGTGTTATTTAGTGAGGTTTGCTTCTTGGTCTTGGCAATTTATTGCTTATTACTTGTTTAGATGTTTATCATTAGAAGCAAAGAATGCAGAATCATGCTTGGACCTACGTATCACCATTTAGAGGCGTCATAGGAAAATTATTAATGAAATTATCCTAATCTATTTTCTAGGAGAGCTTCTCATGGAATCTTTTCCACATTGGCCTAACCATATGAAGTGTTGTTTAGTTAATCATCAAATATTAGGCATTGAAAATCACTTTGATGGGACTGTTTGAGTGGGTTGCAACCTCATGGAATTCCATGCATTTGACAAAGGATGTGCTTCTTTGAATCTACATCCTAACCCAAATCTATTGGCTCTGTTTGGTTGCCAGGAGAATATAAGAATGTGAAATAAACTAAAAGAAAATAAAAAGAAAAAAACAAATATTTATTTTCTTGGAGGAACTTGATTGGCAATAAAAAACAAGGATATAATTTTTTTAGAAAGTTAGCATTTAGTGGGCATCAATCGTTTTTTAACTCAATACTCAATATTCTTGCCTTTTCAAATAGTTTTGCAAGGAAAAACATAACTACCATTTAAAATAAAACTTTTGGAATCAAGAAATTGCTGTTGTGGGTCCAATCCACTTTATTAGAACAACTTTTTTAGCCTTTGTTTTATGAATGCCCAAAATCTATAATATAAAGGATGTACTTCATCTCGTCTTTGTATGTTTAAAAGGTTAGTGCAATACAGTTATCTAAAAGAGGATATCATTATGCAGAGAAAAATTGGCATTTGAAAATTCCAGGATATACAAGCGAAGAGCACAAGTACCAGATGAAATCTGTAAGAAGCTGTTTATGTTTCATTAACTTAAACATGGTAAATTGTGTATGCATCATCAAATGTAATTGTAGTTTTCGAAATAATTTGAGTAAACTCAAAAAATAGGCTGCTTCTTGGTCTATTAGCAGGGAGACCAGATATTCCCCCGCCCCCCTTTTGTATAGATAGTATATGAATGTGCATACACTTAATTTGTCCACTTTTCGCTTCGAAGTTTAACCTCTCTGTTAACATATGTATGCATGCATTTAGTGGCTCTCATTCTACATATCAATCTTTCCTAGACATTCTTTGCCATCCATGTAAACATGCCATGCATCCATCCATAGTGGAAGCAGTGGTGTACTGCTGTAACACTTTTCGTGCCTTACTAGGGTCGAAAATGGTCCTCCATTTTCATTTTCTTTTGATTAAATATATTATATATTCAAATGGGCATTAGGGTCAAAACTATCGTTTCCACTATCATCTAATGGAAGGTTGATTAAGTAAATTGATTGCAAAATGCAAACTATAGGGGGCATTCTAGTAAAATGCAAATTATAGGGCAGGTTTTAATAAATCCATGAAATTATAGGGGGTGTTTTAGTAAATGACCTTTTTTTGAAAGATAAAAGTGAATTTCATTAAAATCAGGAATAAAAGATCTACAAAGGGAGAGTTTCCCTCTACAAAGCACTACAATAGATGCTTAAATCCATCCTTGTAGAGACATTACAATTCAAAGTCATCATCCCACAGAATATTTCCCCAATAAGTCTAGTGGGAAGCTGAAAGAAGATTGAGGGTGGAAGATAAATTGGAACTAGAAGAGTTGCTGAGGAAAGTGGAGATGAGTTGGAGATAAAAATCTAGAGATGTAAGTGGCTAAGGGAAGGGGACAATAACACTAGTTTCTTTCAAATGATGTGGCAAATGGTAGAAAAAGGAAGAACTCTGTCTTGGAGCTGGAGTGGGATGGACAAGTTTTGACAAGGAAAGAGGGGATAGCATAAGCCTCTATTTCAAGGCAATTTATGATTGTCCGGGGAGACCAAGAGAAAGTTTAGAGGATTTGGAGTGGAGGGTGGGGAATAGAGAGTTATTGGACTTTTTGGAAAAGAATTTTGAGGTTCAAGAAGTAAAAACTGTTGTTTCTCAACTGATTGTCCTAAAGCCCCAGGGCCCGATGGTTTTATGATGGCTTTCTATCAAGATTGCTGGGAGATAATTGGGGGTGACTTAATGGAGGTTTTTGAAGAGTTAAGAGCAAATGTGACTTTTATTGCTTTGATCCCAAAGAAGATGGATGTGCTACAACCGAGGGATTTCAGACCTATAAAAATGGTCCTTCCTTTGCTAATCTCTCCAAATCAAGGGGTCTTTGTTTTTGGGAGACAAATAATGGATCAAATACTCATTGCTAATGAATGTATAGACTGTAGAGTTTAAGAGGAGGAAGAAAGAAAAGGGATTGGTTTGTAAGCTATATTTGGAAAAGGCTTTTGACATGGTGGATGGGGATTTTCTTCTAGAAATTCTCAACTACAGGGGTTTTGGAAAAAGATGGTATAGATGGGTGAAGGGTTGCATTTCCTAGTGTCATTTTTCCATATTGGTGAATGGAGTAGCTAGGGATTTCTTTCCTGGTAAAACCATAAAAGGGGCCTTAACAAGGGACCCTTTGTGACCCTTCCTCTTTACTTCGGTAGCTGATGTACTAAGTGAAATGATTTTAAGGGTAGATGCTAATAATTTGATTAGAGGTTGGAGAGTTGGGAGGGAGGAAGTGGTGGTCATACATCTATAGTTTGTAGATGATATCATACTATTTTGTGAAGGGGAAGCAGAAAAGCTTTCGAATTTAAAGAGACTAGTGCATCATTTTGAGAAAATCTTCAATCATTTTGGCCAATTTGCCGGTTTATTTCTTGTTTACCTTCAAAATATTAGTGAAAGTGAAAAACCGGTTTGAGAAGATTATGAGGGATTTCCTATGGGAATCGGGGGACACCAAGAAGGATCATCTAGTGAAGTGGGAGGTGGTTTCTAGGAGTAGGGATGATAGAGGACTAGGAATAGGTATTATCAGATTAAGGAATACAACTTTATTGTGGAAGTGGCTTTGGAGATTGTCGTTGGAACATGATAGACTATGGCATGGAGTGATTGTTAGTATACATGGATTAGCAGACAATGGTTAGCATACCCCAGGGCTTCTCGATGTTCTCCCTAGAACGCTATTCACGGTATTTTGCTTTCCATACTTTCCATATTTCAAATGTGATGCCTATGTAGGAAACAAAGTGTTATTTTGGGAAGATGTATGGGTTGGAGAGAATTCCCTTAGAGATAGGTTTCCTTCTATTTGTTCCCTTTCAGAGAACAAAAGAAAGTGATCTCTTCAGTTTTTATCGATTACTCATGGGACCTAGGCTTGAGAAGAGGGTTAAGGGAGTCAAAAATGGGGGCTGGTTGATGAATTTGTTGCGACAGTCTACTTGGATCAATCTTGCTTGGATAACAGAATTTGGATATTGTCCCCTTCTGGTTTTTTTCGCTTGCTCATCTTTCTATACTGTCCTTCAATCCTATAACCTTGTAGGGAACTTTCCAATCAAGGAGGTTTGGTGAGATGACCACACATCTATTAATCTCCTCTCCTTTTTTGTTTTTTATTTTGTCTTGGTTCTCTTCTATCTTTAATTGCAGGTGGACCCTTCCCCTGGATGTGGTGAGCCGCTTTGACCCAAATTTTCTTAGTCAACTGAAGATGTGTGGAAGGTTATGCGGAGAGCTACAAGAGTAGCTGCAGGAAGGAGTAACCATTAAGGTTATTCATTCGTTGAAAACAATTGGTTTGTTTAGTTATTTCTTAGCTGGAGATATATACAGGAATTGGGGTGCTATGGCAGTTACAACTTCTTTCAAACCTGTTATAGGAACTTTGTCCCTATCAACACAACAGAGGGTGAAGTTGAACTTTGATGGAAGCTCTATAGGCAATCTGGGCCCATTGAGTATAGGAGCTGTTTTCAGAGATGGAGAGGGCAGAATAATTGCTATGTATTTGGGACCAACAGGAGTGGGAGATGCTTTGAGAGCAGATATCATGGCTTTGCTTCAAGGTGTGAGATATGCCAAACAGTTGGAGCTACACCACATTGAGATAGAAGGGGATTCTAAATTGGTAATTGGGTGGATGCAGTCAGGTTGGTTGGGAGCCTGGACACAGAAAACTGATATGGGAAATTTTTAGTTTAACAAGGGAGGTTGGTGTTTACTCTAAGTGGACAAGAAGATCAGCTAATGGGTTAGCTGATACTTCAGAAAAACAAGGGACTATTAGGGAGAATATATTCTGGGCAGTGCTGTAATTTAAATTTTTTTGGTTCAACACCCTATACTAGGGCTTGACAGCTGTACTTTGAAAGATCTTTAATGAAGTTACAGTTTCCAATAAAAAATATTTCCCTAATAATGGTAGAAGTGACAGAATTTGAAACCCTTTACCAAAAAAAATAAAAAAGACAGAATTTGAAGCCCCATAATAATCTATTGATGGACACCCATTTCACAATTAATCTTCCAACCTTTGTGCAAATCTTCTCAATGATAAGGGGTTGTTTTCAAAATCTCTGCCATATTTTTTGATCAGCAAAAATCTATGCCATTTCTCTCCTTAAAAACACACAAACAGATCGAATAAGGAATAATATTCCATAATAGATTACCCCTTTTGCTGAAAACTTGCAAATTGCTACAAGGAGACTACAGATTTGATATCTGGAGGTTCCACCTAGCTTACAGTTACACCAAACAGCTTCAAAACATGAGACCAGATGGTGTAAGATAAACTGCATTCCACCAGTAAATGTTGAACATCCTTCCTCTCCCCCCTCCCCTCCCACACACACAGAGGCTAGCRGCGGCAGTGGGCAAAATATTCCTTAAAAAATCAAGACAACCACTTGCATCAAGCTGCTTTTTGATTATATGTATATCCATGCCTTTTTCTCCCCCTTGGTATTCTATATTTTTCCATTCACGTTTTCCTTCGATTGCTCTCTTTATCTTTGAATTTTGATTCTCCTGGTGGTATATAATGTTTTTTCAGCCGTTTTCAAGGCGCTAAGTCCAGGGTAGGTGACAACCTAACTACATTCTCCTGGTGACCATTTTGTCTTCAAAAAAAAGTCCAGGGTAGGTGACAGAGGGGCATCTAGGTGCCTAGGTGTTTGTTTTTTTTTTTTTTTTAAGTAATATGATAATTCCCTAGGTTTTGTATCAACCAGTAATCATCTTTCATTAGTAATTATCAGTAATCTTTCCATGAGTCAGCAAACCAAAATCACCCAATCTTGACTAGCATGAGGAAATTCAACTCTTTTATGGACGAGAATAACCTGCTAGAGTTGCCCCTTGGACATGCCAAATTCACTTGGTCCAATTTCCAAAGCTATCCCACTTGTTCCAAATTGGACATATTTCTCTTCTCTGTGGATTGGGAGTAACATTGGGTTAGATTTTCTTGTTTAGCCCTKCCTAGGACAATTTTAGACCATTGCCTAATCATGATTTTCCAAGAGGATAGTTGGGGGGGGGTCCCTAACCTTCTAGATTTGAAATATGTGGCTTCCTTGTTACCCATCATAAAAACTTGGTGGGTTGAGCAAGTTCAAGGTAGATGGAAAGGTCATAAATTCAGAAAGAGGCTTCAGAAGATCAAAGGGGCTCTGAAGGTGTGGAATACAGATGTCTTTGGAAATCTAGAGGWGGAAAAATCTAGAATCTTAAATCAGATTCAGGAAATTGACCTCAAGGAAGGTGAAGGAAAGTTGCTTGAAGGGGACAGAAAGAAGAAAGACCTAGAAGAAATTTTGAGAAGAGAAGATAGATCCTGGGAGCCAGAAATCAAGGAGTAAATGGTTAAAAGAAGGTGATGGAAAGTCTATATTCTTCCACGAATTGGCCAGTGGCAGGAATAAAAAGAATCACAACTCCAGGTTAGTCCAATGAAG